AGCGATCGCAACCTTCAGAGGGGGCGGATAGCCCGGAGGCCAAGAGAAGGAAAACGGAGAACCCATCAGGCACAGATGGCTCTTCAGGAAACAAAGTGACTGATGCTGGCAAAGGCACAGCGAAAGAAACAGTCCCTGGTGATCAGCCGATAGGTGGAGTTCCATCGTCGTCTTCATCAGCTGACGGTCAGCCACCGGCGGTGGGACCGATCAACCAACAGCCGAATCCAAATGGGTCGACTGAAATTCCTGTCGGAAGAGGCAAAACAGAGAAAGAAATGGAACGCTTAGGAGCAGGGCAACCTGATTCAAGTAAGTTTCATGCGTGGGACAAGGTCCTAGTCGACGCGCAACTGCCTCAGGGAGGTCCTGCGACGGATTCCCCAGATTGTTCACATCTAATAGATGACGATCTGAATCCCTTCAAAATGGTCAATCGTGGCGGAACGATGATCAAAGTACGGCTTAGGCGAGGTCGTCCTACGGGTCTGACAAAAGAACAGCGTCCGCACTGGAAAACCAGTGGCCAGAAGAAGAAAAAGGGAAAAGGATTTCAGCAAGAACTTCCGCAGGATGACACTGCAGAATCTAACATCGCAAGTGCGTTTACAGCTTTTGGGGGTCCTATGTTGGATCTTGAGGAACAGAAAGTGGCAATATCCTTTACTGTTCAGGTCACTCGTGCAGAAGCCACGAAGGGTCCTGACTCTGTGAAATTCATGGAGGCTGACAACCTTGAAAAGTTGCAGCTAGAAAAGAGAGCTGTAATGTTTGGCGAGCTCTGCATGGTGGTGAACTCAAGGACGACGATGAGATTGCCCCGTGTGTTGTCATATACACAAAGAAGCGACGTGGTAGATACAAGGCTCGCTGCGTTGCCTTAGGCAACAGGCAGACGAAAGTTAGTAAGGCCGCAATCTTCTTACCAACAGTCTCACACGCGGCTAACAGGGTGTCGTTAGTTGATGCGGCTGCAAATGGCAAAGCCTTAGGTCAGTTTGACATCTCCAACGCATTCGCTAGAAGCGAGCTGGGGGATGATGAGCGCGTGTTCATTAGACTTCCAAAACATTGGTCTGCGGACCCGCGTGGGGACGTTGTGAGACTATTGAAAAGCCTTCACGGACTGAAAATAGCACCTAGAAAATGGCACGACTGCTACTCTAGCTTCCTACTGAAAACAGGTTGGGAAAGATGTCCCAATGAACCCGGTCTCTTTCGGCGCAAGGGTGTAACTATAGCCACCTACGTTGATGACTCCCTAGTTAGCGCCAACACACAGGAGGAAGTAGACAAAGTAACCAGGGAAATCCTGGCGCACTTCGATGGTAAAGTAATTGATGCTGAATGGTCTGCCGACAAGAGAACTCAAATCCGTGACATCTTGGGGGTGCGACTGTCGTACACCAAAGAGTCACTGGCGACGAAACTCGACGCAGAACAGTCCATCAAGAAGCTAGCCGAGAAGTTCAAGGTAGAACCAGGTAGGGCTATTCAGTCGCCTTGTGTTTATAGCGATCCTATTGAAGGCTCAGAAGATAAAAGCTTTCCACTGAGAAGTCTCGCCGGAGGTTTGCAATACATTGCTACACAAGCAAGACCAGACTGTTTATTTGCGGTGAACCGCGTTGCGAGGCATGTCACGACTCCGACTTCGGCAGTTATAACAGCTCCAAAACGTGTGCTGCGGTACATGCTGCAAACAGCGTCTTGTGGGGTGGAATACAGTCCAACCCGGGAGAAAGAATTCTTCCAGACTTATGAGGAAGTCCTCAAGAGTCAAACGAAGTCTGACTTACGCGACTTTGTGGCATTTTCTGATGCAGATTATGCGGGGTGTACAGTCACACTGCGTAGCTGCTCGGGTAGTATACTCTACCATCGGGGTACTCCAGTTGCTTGGAGCTCCAGGAGGCAATCCATTAGAGCAACTAGCACTTGCGAAAGCGAGTATGTAGCATTGTTCGACACGCTCCAACTTGTGAAGTCTCAAGGCTTTATGGAGTGGCATGCGTCCAACGCTATGCTGCCACAAATTTTCTGTGACAATCAGTCTTCTATCATGGTGGCAGGGACCTCCCTACCCACCAAGAAAGCGAAGCGTTTCCAAATGCGTTTTCACGCGGTAAAGGATCACGCAGAGGACGTCTGCTATTGCCCGACTCACTTGAATCGCGCTGATCCTCTTACCAAACCAATGGGGAAACCCTTGATGGTGTTCCAAACACCGCCTGGCATTTCGCTCAGCGACAAGAAGCGCGACGCGCGTGCGTTGTATTGCTGCATCGCTTGAGGGGGAATGTGGGGTAAGTATCAAGGCCATAGGGGACTGCGGGAACCTATGGAAAGCGGTGCTTTCCTCCCATGCCGTGCGCCGCATCATCGGTAGCGCACTGGGGGCGGGCAGCTAGGTGCCTGCGGGGGTTTTTGTCCGCATAGATAGCGAAATCTACATTGATTTCCAATCGGATGGCGTCTCAGATGACCGTGGCCATTTCTAATAGTGAACGACTGTTGTCTTTCTGGTGTTGACTTTGAGCTGGTTGACTGTCGTTGTCGTTTCTGACTTGGTGTTCTCTATCCAGTGTCAAGACGAGGGCAAAGGCCCTCATCGTTGTCACTGAGAGGGGGAATGTTGGGCAGAATGATAATGGATAGATCAACAACGTGAAACGGCTCAAGGATCTCAGTCAAGAGGTCCACCAAGATCGTGAACCAAATGGTTACAGGATCAGAATCACACCAGTAGGAAGATCAACAAGATCACACCAAGGGGATCACCATCAGGATGATCACCATAGGAATGGAATACTATCGGGATCGAGAACATCAGCACCGAGATCCCTAGCGTGGCAAGTAGTTTGATACTCATTGACATGAACANCGTCGAAGAAGATGGCAGTAGATTGCTCCTTAGTGTCCTTGTTCAGCTGTGTTCCGTCGAAGAAGATGGCAGTAGATTGCTCCTTAGTGTCCTTGTTCAGCTGTGTTCCGTCGAAGAAGATGGCAGTAGATTGCTCCTTAGTGTCCTTGTTCAGCTGTGTTCCGTCGAAGAAGATGGCAGTAGATTGCTCCTTAGTGTCCTTGTTCAGCTGTGTTCCGTCGAAGAAGATGGCAGTAGATTGCTCCTTAGTGTCCTTGTTCAGCTGTGTTCCGTCGAAGAAGATGGCAGTAGATTGCTCCTTAGTGTCCTTGTTCAGCTGTGTTCCGTCGAAGAAGATGGCAGTAGATTGCTCCTTAGTGTCCTTGTTCAGCTGTGTTCCGTCGAAGAAGATGGCAGTAGATTGCTCCTTAGTGTCCTTGTTCAGCTGTGTTCCGTCGAAGAAGATGGCAGTAGATTGCTCCTTAGTGTCCTTGTTCAGCTGTGTTCCGTCGAAGAAGATGGCAGTAGATTGCTCCTTAGTGTCCTTGTTCAGCTGTGTTCCGTCGAAGAAGATGGCAGTAGATTGCTCCTTAGTGTCCTTGTTCAGCTGTGTTCCGTCGAAGAAGATGGCAGTAGATTGCTCCTTAGTGTCCTTGTTCAGCTGTGTTCCGTCGAAGAAGATGGCAGTAGATTGCTCCTTAGTGTCCTTGTTCAGCTGTGTTCCGTCGAAGAAGATGGCAGTAGATTGCTCCTTAGTGTCCTTGTTCAGCTGTGTTCCGTCGAAGAAGATGGCAGTAGATTGCTCCTTAGTGTCCTTGTTCAGCTGTGTTCCGTCGAAGAAGATGGCAGTAGATTGCTCCTTAGTGTCCTTGTTCAGCTGTGTTCCGTCGAAGAAGATGGCAGTAGATTGCTCCTTAGTGTCCTTGTTCAGCTGTGTTCCGTCGAAGAAGATGGCAGTAGATTGCTCCTTAGTGTCCTTGTTCAGCTGTGTTCCGTCGAAGAAGATGGCAGTAGATTGCTCCTTAGTGTCCTTGTTCAGCTGTGTTCCGTCGAAGAAGATGGCAGTAGATTGCTCCTTAGTGTCCTTGTTCAGCTGTGTTCCGTCGAAGAAGATGGCAGTAGATTGCTCCTTAGTGTCCTTGTTCAGCTGTGTTCCGTCGAAGAAGATGGCAGTAGATTGCTCCTTAGTGTCCTTGTTCAGCTGTGTTCCGTCGAAGAAGATGGCAGTAGATTGCTCCTTAGTGTCCTTGTTCAGCTGTGTTCCGTCGAAGAAGATGGCAGTAGATTGCTCCTTAGTGTCCTTGTTCAGCTGTGTTCCGTCGAAGAAGATGGCAGTAGATTGCTCCTTAGTGTCCTTGTTCAGCTGTGTTCCGTCGAAGAAGATGGCAGTAGATTGCTCCTTAGTGTCCTTGTTCAGCTGTGTTCCGTCGAAGAAGATGGCAGTAGATTGCTCCTTAGTGTCCTTGTTCAGCTGTGTTCCGTCGAAGAAGATGGCAGTAGATTGCTCCTTAGTGTCCTTGTTCAGCTGTGTTCCGTCGAAGAAGATGGCAGTAGATTGCTCCTTAGTGTCCTTGTTCAGCTGTGTTCCGTCGAAGAAGATGGCAGTAGATTGCTCCTTAGTGTCCTTGTTCAGCTGTGTTCCGTCGAAGAAGATGGCAGTAGATTGCTCCTTAGTGTCCTTGTTCAGCTGTGTTCCGTCGAAGAAGATGGCAGTAGATTGCTCCTTAGTGTCCTTGTTCAGCTGTGTTCCGTCGAAGAAGATGGCAGTAGATTGCTCCTTAGTGTCCTTGTTCAGCTGTGTTCCGTCGAAGAAGATGGCAGTAGATTGCTCCTTAGTGTCCTTGTTCAGCTGTGTTCCGTCGAAGAAGATGGCAGTAGATTGCTCCTTAGTGTCCTTGTTCAGCTGTGTTCCGTCGAAGAAGATGGCAGTAGATTGCTCCTTAGTGTCCTTGTTCAGCTGTGTTCCGTCGAAGAAGATGGCAGTAGATTGCTCCTTAGTGTCCTTGTTCAGCTGTGTTCCGTCGAAGAAGATGGCAGTAGATTGCTCCTTAGTGTCCTTGTTCAGCTGTGTTCCGTCGAAGAAGATGGCAGTAGATTGCTCCTTAGTGTCCTTGTTCAGCTGTGTTCCGTCGAAGAAAGTGCGAAGAGCTTTTCCTCTCGTTGTATTGTTCCTCTCCACGTCTTCGTCATCGACAGGGATCGCGATACTTCCCTCTGATGCAGTGACACAGTCTTCATCCCCCTCTGCTTCGTCGAAGAGGATGGCGACGGTTTCTTCTCTGCTGGTATGGTTCTCCTCTTCATCGAAGAAAGTACTAGAGGTAGCTCCTCCTTCTTTGGTTGTACCGAAGAAGGTGGTGGACGTTGTAGAAGTACTACGGCAGGCCTTCCTCAGGGACTTCCACACGAAGAAGAAGCACACAGCGAGTAAGAGTCCGCAGATGGGGTCGTTGAAAGAAAGCTGATGCACTCCAGTGGAAGTAGAGCTAGAAGAGGAAGTGATGGTGCTGGGCTGGAGGAAGGAACTGGTTGACGCCGGTGATGTTTCTCCTGGCGCTGGCACTTTCCCCCCCAAAGCCGCGAAGGCGTTATCACCCACAACATGTCGCTTCTCTGGTGCAGTTGCAGACCAAATATGTTGTTGCCGTAGTCGTGGACGTCCTTCTCTTGCTTCTCGCTTACCGCCTGCTGGGCCGTCTAATCCTGCTGTTTTTGCGTCCTTGCCTTCGCTTCCTCCTACAGTGCTGCTTTCCGTCGTCTGCAGGGGAGAAGATCCTCGATTGTCAACCTGTGCAGACCCTCCTGGTCCTGCTCGTTCTTGTTCAGCTGCTGCTTCTGCTGCTGCTGCTCCCTCTCGATCTTCGGTCCCACTTTCCTTTCCGGCTGCAGGTACTTCATTATCTAGTTCTGCATGCTGTTTTTCTGCTTGTGCGTTTTCTGATTGATCTTGTTCCAGTCTTAGCTCCCCTACTTTTTCTCGCAATTTTGCTTCATCTGCTTCGCTGTGGAAAATTCGCATCTCGACTCCAACATATTTCCCCTTCGCTTCAAGCCATTCATCCCAGGCTGTAATAAGTTTCCCGCGCTGTTCCGCCGTCGAAGCCCCTGATATGCGCGCAAAACGTACTTCAGCGTTGTAGACGGTCTCCTCAGTTTGGAGCGTTCGGTGCGCAGCCACTAATTCTGTCCACGCATCATCCCTCTCCTTCCCGTAGCGCCCCCCGCCTTCGGTGGCTCCAGCCCTCTTGGATTCCGGGGCTGCCACGTCTGTTGCTCCTCCAGGTTCCCTCCTTTCCTGACTTCCCTGCCTCTTAACCGCCGTTTCCTTAGGGGGTGCATTGCTTCCCGATCCTGCCACCACCGGTGCTCCTGCAGGTTCCTGCGGTGGGTCTAGCGGCTGGACCGCGCTCCTTCCCACCAGATTACCCATCTTTCTCGTACTGTGAACTACTTTACCAACAACTGCTTTGTCAAAAAGATAAAACTCACTGTTGTATCTTGGCAACAGTTGAGGATTCTTGCGGCAGGTTTGATCGTCCAAGTCTAAGCTATTCAATATTGCAAGTTCTCGGACTAGGCAAGCTTCAACGATTGACTTTCATCGATAAAGAACACATGTGGAAACATACAAAATTTTAAGATTCAACAAGCTGGAGTATATTCCACTATCATGCTTAATCCGAGAAGACATGATATTTTATCTACTATCAAACCACTAGTACATTCTCACACTTGATGATGCAAAGCAGCCGAACTCTAGGATATAGATCGACGATAAAACCATGTTTAGATTGCGAATCGATAGGGCGACGATACCCAGGATCTACAGGTTACTACGCTAAAACAATACGTCATTTCGTGTCTCACTCTCGTCTTTAGAAGAGCATTCTTCTCGTACTCGTCGCGACGCATATTCAAGTACTTCTCTCAACTCTTATTCAGGATTCAGTCAATCCCTGGGGATCCCTCACCACGAAAACTGCTCAGATTTCACATTTCTTACCGATCTAAGAGAGCAGTCAGCGAATAATCTATCACCCATGATACTAGAAGCATTTAGACGTGTCAACAAAAGAGGAGAATTTCCTGCCTTCATCACGTAGCAGCACTTAGTGCATATAGTTCTTCAGTCGCGACCCGAAGAGAGGACCTATCTACATCGATCATCGTTTAAATGTAGGGCTTCTTCTTTGAAGGGCATCAGCTATGTATCGTGCAGTGAGTAAGACGAGCGCGACGGAAAGTTAACCGGATACTTTCATCATCTATGTACTTTTTTCTTGACTCGACGAGGTAACCTGTGGAAGTGCGATTTCCTGAATCTGGCCAAACGTACGGCGTACTTCATCACTCTTTTGCATGATGCTCGCCATGGCTTCCTCGGACGTTAGAAGGACAGTGGAGAAGTGTCGCTCTTCTCAAAACAAAGAACTTAAATTCTTTGTCTGTTCTTCTTGTTTCTTGACGCGAAGCTGTACGCTTACTCTTCTTCCTTACTACGTAACAACTATTTTTGCTTCTTAGCAAATATCCAGCTGGTTGTCTCACAAGAGGTAATCCTGAGAAGTCTATGTTTACCACAAAAGTATTCAGCTGGTGGTCTCACAAGAGGAGGCCAACCGGATGCGTCTACACTCTATACCGCAACAAGGTCAGAAGCTAGACCGTATGGTTCTGACTTTTTCTATTTTCAGTTCTGTTCTCCTTTTTAACAAAAATTCAGAACAAGGTGTTCTCCTTAATAAATATTCAGCAGGCGAAATCTTATCCTGAGGGTCCTGAAGCGTCCCGTCAGCTGCCTCCAACTCTTTCCTATACATGCGAAACCAGCCATCTAAGCGATGTGCTACGTGAGATGCGCGACCTGTATGGTTCTGGTGGCATGTGTAGAAGTACTGTGGAGGTGAGTGATGATTAATGATTGATGTATGAAGGCTTTCTATTGGTGGTCGACAAATAAAAATATTCTAGTGATCAGGAGTGCTTTGACATTACGGAGTGCCCCTGTACTACAGTGTATAGTGAAACTGAAGAAGAAACAAACATCAAATATACGTATCTCTTCTCGAATAGCGTCTAGCTGTCGTAATCCTTTCTCGCATACGGTTAGGGTCTGTTCTCCAGCAGACAGGTTCGGGTCAGATATCCATCTCCGCATTTCTGCATCGTGTAAAGCGCCTTGTGCGGCATGAGATTAGAGAGGAATTAAGATGGAGTAGAGAAGCAGAAGACGGAATGAGGAGATACAAAGTCGGAAAAATGAACCGGATAGAACCGTCTATCTTGTTCCGCAATTTGAGAAGAAGAGAGAAAGAGAGAGAGAACGATAGAAGATGCATCTTCCAAACTGATGTGTTGCTTCTTGTAAGCTGATGAGTGATTTCTAAGTAATTATAGAGCAAAAGATATGCTCTTAACTGGAACTGGCACTTGCGCTTGATTTCACATGCACAGACCGAGGGGTAACACCGGAGACGAAGGCCATTTTTCAGAACACCAAAGCTTATGGTACTTCTCGTAATCACGAGAGGATGATCATTCATAAAAAATCCCTACTATTTAAGTACTCACACAGTCACTATCTCAGTTAATCATCGACGACCGAGAGAATCACTCAAAAAGTCATGACTCAGTTTCTCATTCTCATGGTGCTATGTCCAACTCCAGCTTATTGCAGTAGAGACAAACTATTGCTGTAAAAATTGTAAGTGAAGCCCATGCCGATCGCCTCACGGCCGTGTCCCACTCCAGGCACCGCTACCGCGCCAACCCTTACTCCAGAATACACTTCACAAAGAGAAAGAACCAGAGGATATCCTCAGTTGATTAGAGCATCATTCTGTAGTTGCTTAGAGCATCCTTCTGTAGTTGCTTGGCATCATTACAATATCATGATCCATCAGCATGGTTTTAATTGACCTTCAATTTCGTCAAGAAAAGCCTTTCAAAGGAATCAATGTAAGCAGCTCAGCTATCTTCTAAAATTCAGGTCCAAGATCTTAACCCAGTACTATTCTACGTTTAGCTTATAAGAAATCAGAACATTTGCACCTCCCCACCTCCATCCATGTCCGAATGATCGTTGGGTACAACTTCAAAGGTCTCGCGATCTGAAACTTCTTTCTCCTCTACTTTTGAAGTGGCAGACTCATCTGCCACCTCCGTCGTGGCTGGAACGACCTCGAAATCGCTGCTCGTCGCGGTGCCTGGCAATTCCTTACTACCACTGATCGGGATTGCTGATTGCTTACTAGCAGATGAAGGAATTGAGGCAGGAAAAACGTTGAGGAAGGTTGTAAGATGTTGCGAGGGAGAGTTTTTCATCTGCACATCTACTGCATCTGGTGTCTGCTTTTCCACGGTTTCTTCAGTTCCAGTCGGGTAATTGCCACCACTGATTTTCGGTGCTAGAATCACCTCACTCGTACTAGTTTGTGCCTCCACTGCTGGTGCTGGTTGATCTAGGATATTATTTTCGACCATGACATGGGCGTTCTCAACGTCAACAGCGAGTGGTTGCTTCTCAACAGTTGCAACTACTGATTGGTTCTCATGTTGTTGAGCTGGAGACAACGCCCCTTCTTCGAGTTCTTGGACAGCGACAGCGTCTCTGAAAACTGTGCCTGCTCTAGTTGAGCTAGGCGAATTGACAGATGGAGCGGTTCTGTCGTCGACGGATGCAGTAGAGGGTTGATTGACATCGAAATCGGGGGCAGCATCATATCCATTGCGAACTATAGCTTCCTCATTGCCGATCGTCTCTTCCGCAGAAGAGGCTGCGAGCTGATGCCTGTTGTTGAGCGTGCAGTTGTTTCATAAACATTTTCTTCAGGCCATTCGCAGATTCGACAGAAAAAATTCTTGAAGACTCTGATCTCTAGTAGAAACAACTCTTATGTGAATGCTTCTTTAAAACTCTAGTAGAACTCTCATGTGAATGCTTCTTTAAAAGGTCAAGAGATACCCATGTCCCATGAAAGCGCGAAAACTGCTAGGTCTTCGTGGCTCCGCTCCGCCAGAGGCCGCAGCTTGCAATAGCGGTTCTGCCGTGGAGAAGAGTCGCGACCGAACACACTTCAAAAGCTGATAACCACTATACATGACTGCAAAACTCGCCAGTGGTTGAAGCGCAAAACTCGCTTTCAGTAGAGGCAAAAGAAAGAAAATGAAAATGGACTGGAGCAGAATGTGGGATAGGAGAGGACTACGTAGTAGTGTGGGATATTCCAATGTGGTGTGATGTGTTGGTGTCAAGAAAATTTTCTTTAGCCTCGTCATCGAAGTCGGATCATCCAACACAGCAAGACGAGAGCAGAAAATTTACAGAATCCAGATTGTACTGTCATATATCGGTACAACAAGAACAGCTAAGCTTATCGGATAGAAGATAGAATACGGGACTGGACTCGACGTGCTAGTCTGTGCCATCTATTCTTATCTGCTCCATACTATCTAAATACTCGATATTCATAAAAAGAGAGCCCGACGACGCTTTCGCCCCCACTGCTGCATTTCTCAAGAACATGAAATTGAGGAACGTCAGGCTTTGAAAAACACCCTGAACGCCGGACACGACCACTGTAGAGCTCAAGGTACTCCCACCACGATTATTAGAGGGAAGACTAGACTTTGACCTTAAGACTAGATTATATAAGACTAGATCTATGACTAGAGTTCAGACTAGATCTTAGACTCGATTGTAGCTTCGCATCGTTCTTGCTCCTTACACAGAAATAGGCGAATGTCAACATGACTACCCACAACTTGCCTAGCTCTTTCAACCTCCCGAGCAGCAATAGTTTATTTACTCGATAGATAGATAAATAGATAGATAGATAGATAGATAGATAGATAGATAGATTACCCAGCCATTTGACGGGTGTGCAGCCTTTCAGCGATCACTGTCATAATTTGCAGTCCTTCCGGTGTTACCGCATACAGGCCCATCGCAGTCGAGACGAAGGAGAGAAACCCGACCACTAGTTCGCCAAGAAAAAACTCCAGGATACTCAGGGCACCCAGTGCGTAGTTGCAATTGATATAAAACCGATGATAATAGCGGCAATTGTCGTCGAAGAAGGAAAGCTCTCGCGTTTGCTCCCATGGAGGTGGCGTGCGGCTTTCGACGAAGAGAATAGGCAAGCAGGCGTATGTTATGCGTAGGTTCTTCACATCCAAAGCTGCTCGTAAGTTCTTCGTGTCTGCCCAGGATGGTATGAAGAGAGATCGTCTGTTGACGAGGGATGGCAAGAAACAGTTGTTGTCATGTTTTGGAAACACATTACTTTCGTTCTAGGCAGAAGAAATTTTCCATGGAGCTACTTCTTGTGTGTCCTCCATGTCCAGCATAGGCTATCCAATAGGAAGTTCTTAGGTAGAATAAAATTTCCTTGATGCAGATGCACGACGAGCTATCATGAGAAGAGAGTGCGAAGTCTCATATAAAGAGAGTGCGAAGTCTAGAGGATTGCCATTTTTACCTGTCTCGCAATTCTTGTTACCCATCTATCATAAGAAGAGCTTCACGTGTCCCGCTTTGCCCGCATCGACCAGAACTCCTTAAATCCGGTTGAACATGAGCCACAAACAAGAAATTCGTTGCGTTTTTCATACTGTATGGCACAAAAGACGACGGAGTGGAAGAACTAGTCCTCATAGAAGCCAAAAAAGAGGACAAAGTAGAACTCCTCCGCGTACTCCTTTGTTGGCTGGACGACGATGAAGAGCGGTCCTTACCACCAAAGAACGCCTCGTTTAACCACGTTGCATTAGAAGTGTTCCTACTCTCGAGGACGAGGATGGAGTTCCTAATGCCTTCAACCAGTTCACACTCTCATCTCATCTCCTCAAGAATTAGTCCATCTCCTCAAGAATTAGTCCATCTCCTCGAAAAGAAGCCACCTCCTCAAGAATTAGTCCATCTCCTCAAGAATTAGTCCACCTCCTCAAGAATTAGTCCACCTCCTCAAGAATTAGTCCATCTCCTCAAGAAATAGTCCATCTCCTCAAGAAATAGTCCATCTCCTCAAGAATTAGTCCATCTCCTCAAGAATTAGTCCAACAGTTGGAGCGTGAAAGAACGAGTTTCCTTAACTACTGCATCTTCGTTATGCAAGCGCACTCCTGTTCGACCTCGCCGCTGAGTTGCGGACGGCATGATTGCTGAGGTCCAACCGGAGAACCATAGATCTGTGTGGTCCGCCATGATTCCGTTTGATAGGGGTTGATGTAGTAAGTGAATCTGTTCGACGTGAATGGCTTTACTTCTACTTCCTGAGGGTTTGCTGTGAGGCTCTTCATGTGAGAATGTGGCCTAGGTTTTTTTTTGATATGGGAGTAAGGAAAGATGACTCATATCATGTAAAAGGCGAAGTGACAAGCAACTGTGCGAATACAAATTGTAAACTTGTAGGCTAAGGCGCCACTTGTCTTGTGGGGGAAGTAACGATCTGGCTTGTAGGCAAAGACGCCACCTCTTTCATTCATTCATTTACCTGTTCGCGAGGTGGCTTTTATCGCGAGGTGACGCAGGAGGGAGTGAAATAATTTGCTCGTCTTGCAACGGGGTGATTTTTATTGTGGAGCAACTACACCGACTTGTCTTGGGAAGCCAGCAGTTTGATTGTGAAGAGGGGCACCGAGAAATCTTCAACAGATTAGGTGTCTCTTCCGTCTATCCGATAGCGACAAAACTGAGTGTTTTCCTTGTGTAACCGAAACGATTCGATCCGTGCTTTCTCTCTACGCACGACCCGAGACAACGTGGTCAAACGCCACACCTAAGCGAGTCGCTGTCGTCAGTGCGCGCGAAGTTTTACAGCTAGGTGGGATGTTCTACAGTTAGTACAACATGGGTTATTTTACAGGTAGTACATGGGATGTTTTACATCGGAGTTGTTTCTTGGAAGTCTCGTCGCTGTAGCCATACGGCAAGTTCATGATGAGTTACGGTTCGTATCGGGTCACAGATCCTGGGGATCTTCCATCAACATGACTTCCTGTGAACGCTACGGGCTATGGCATACCGGTTTCTCGTACGACATCACACTGTCGCCACCTATGACTACACGCTCTAACATGCTATAGAATATGATGAAAGACCAAAAACACTGATCAGAAGTGCGTATCAACTCCTTTTTTCCGAAGAACAACATGTTTTGAAGAACTCATATGTAGCAGTACAACCCCCCGTGGCCGTGATGTAAACAGACTTCGCGACCTTAATAGCAGTAGACCTCTGGTGCTTACGGTAGGACTAAGAACTCGTGTTGATCATAGCTCTCCTCTGGATCATTGTCGGTGCTCAAAGCTCGAGATATCGACGCATCTCGTAGAGAGCAGCTTGCCTCATACGAAAAGAAAATCCATCGCAATTTGATTCGTTCCATCGCAATTTTCTGGGACAGCCCCATCTTCAGCTCCGCCGTCGCTCGTCGCATCCGCGCCCAGAGTTTCGGATCTTAGAATTCATTGGTAGTGGAGTGCATTTGCTATGAGAAAACAGCGCCTCTTACAACTGAGATGGCCAGAGAAGCTCTGTCGTGTTAGATGAAAACAGTCCGCGAACATCTGGAAAAGGCACAGTAGCCACCCCTTTTCGTAACTACCACTGGAGGATAGGTTCTTGAACAATAACCAACCACGAGACTTGGATGGTTCTTTTTTTTAAAATTACCACCAAGAGAGTTTCTAATACCGACTCAGTCCTCTAGATCAGGTTGACAGGAGAGAAAGGCTCCAGCATATAACTCAAAAACAACAAAAAAGTTCCCTTCTACCTAATTGATGATTGCTGTACATTCTTTTTCCTTAACTTCCCTCCCTGTAGCGCAGAGATGCTGCGCATGGTTTCGTCCCGTTGTTTGGCCATGAGGGACACCAAGGCTAGCCAGCCCATACCACTCGCTTTTGGCGTGCAAGCACAGCTCATGAGAACAGGGAAATGAAACATTTTTTTATTGCTTTCGTGTTGGTGAATGACTGGACAAGGATGGCGGTGGTTGGTGGTGTTGCTAAGGAGTTAAAGCTCTTCAATTTCCAAGACTCTAAATCACTGTAAAAGTAGCGATGTTCCTGGCAGATTTGGATTTGGGAGGAAAGGCGGAGATAGTCTTTCTGCGCTCCCCAAAATGATCAAACGTCCCTCGCGGAGGGAGAAAATGCATCATCGGACATTTTTTCTATGACCCACGCAGAAGATTTTCGGATGAGATTTCGTAGGTGCGGAGGAAGCTCCAAATGAGATTTCGTAGGTCCAGGTGCTCCAACCTCCTATGAGAAGCTCAGGTGTTCAAAAGGTCCCTTGTTCTCTCATGGTAGTTCATTTTCGTTGCAACCGATATGTCTACGCCGTTTCCATTGGCATTCAAACGGGGGACATGACAGATGGGGGACATGACAGATTACCTATCATTTCGCGCTGACGACCAATATGGAGCAAAACACACGGACAGTTAGACCGTGTCGTCAAAGTTAATATGGCGGGTGCTCGGCACTGCAGAGTGGAACACCTTGTATGTAATTCCAGCGTCAGTCTCGACCGACAGACTTCTAGTGCGGCGCGAACACGCTCTACAGCGCCTCGCTTTGGTTTTATCAGTCGCTACTTCACCAGTCTAGCATTCAAAGTGAATCCAAAGAGAGTTGATCGAGTGGTCTGTAGCGCTATGCTTCTGCTCCTCCACATTAATCTCTATTGTCAAAGTGCAGCCATTATTCCCACATTCTGCTTTGATGTCGCAATACAACACCTGTTTTCACACTCTCCTTAGACCACCCTGGATTGTTGTGGACAGGTAAATTTAGTCTTGCTTTCGGCGGAAGCTGCATCCCTCGGAGAGACGGGCATGACCTGTCAGTAGTTTAGTTTGATGAAATGAGACAAGCATGGCGTGGGAGAAAGTCGGCATGAGCAATGTTTCTAAAATATCCAGATCCGTGTCGACGACAGTTTCACATCGGAGATCGAAATTCAGAACGCAATCTCCTACAATCTTCTATGGGAATTCCTTTTCTAAATCGTGTCCAAAGTCACTAAGGAAGACATTCACAACTAAAGGTTTTAGGAGAACAAGGAGTCCCTACCAAAAGGGTGAAGAAAATAAAAAAACTACCTCCAGTCGGCTTGCACAAGACAACATTACAGTTGTGGCACAGGACGACGGTTTGAGCATGCGAGTAAACCGTGGTGATCTGGAGGCAGCCTGAAATTTTTGGATTTTTGATGTGATTTAGAAGCTAGTGTTATCTGGGGTGTGATTTAGAAGCTACTGTGGTCTGGTGTGACTTAGAAGCTAGTGTCATCTAGGGCGTGATTTAGAAGCTATTTAGAAGCTAGTGTTATCTGGGGTGTGATTTAGAAGCTACTGGGGTCTGGTGTGATTTAGATAGAAGCTAGTGTTATCTGGTGTGATTTAGAAACTAGTGTTCTCTGGTGTGATTTAGAAGCTAACGCGGCTCCTGAAAGTCCTCGCGAAGGGGACATTTTGCAGAAAGTCGTATGTACTTACCATGCTGTTCAGCCTCAAAATACCATTTAAAGAAAGCCTTTTATGAAGAAGAACGTACACCTGAAGCCTCAAAGCCCCACAGTTCTAAGGAGGGCAGAACATTTACTACTTCAGATTGTCCTTTCTGTAGCAGCTCAGATTATATTCATTCAGCTTCCTATTTTCTCAGTTTAGGAGGAGCGGCAGTGGTAGTAACGGTAATTATACCTGGGCACTTGACGTCCATGAAGAAGCTGTTGGGGGCCTGAACAAGCTTCTTCAGCTTGTGCTTCTTGGCCTCCTCGGCCTGGATCGGGTTCAAAAGGTCGATATCCATTTTCTTCCTGGTGAGGTTAACTCAACCTTAAAGAGTAGCGACTTAGCTGTTCTCGATGTCCCTGGTAAAATTGTACGATTGAAAGATTGGTGAGAGATGGTCAGGATTTTGGACAAGGTTTTTTAGAGTAAGGTTTTAGGTTGCCAACTAGTCCCTTTCAGTTGATCACGTTTGAATTGGGCCTTTCAGTTGTGTTCGATGCAGTGCTAGATCACGGCTCGACCATGGCATTCGCGGATCTTTTGCAAGAGCCTGTGTTTTTCGTCAGGATCCTTTTATGTTTTCTGAAAGGGATCTTTGGCGGAAAGTCGACGAGATCTTTGACGGATTTAGGCAGCTTATTTGAAGGTATCTAAATGTGATCCTTTTTGACCGCTACCTCAGGAAGACTCTTTGATCGCTACCTTGCATATTCATTCTGAAGGTGATCTACCAAGCGGGACCCTTCGTCTTTAGACCTAGCTGATGTGCATTTTGATGTGCATTTTGTATTGCTTTTAGATCCTTCTTCAATTGCTGCAGTAGCTCCGATATTTAGAAGTAAGGCGCTTGTCATTCCCTCTCAGCATGACTTTACCTACAATTCTTCTTTAGCTCGTGCCCAAATTCTCTTTGTAGATCGGCTTCTGTAGCTGTCATTTGAAAAGAAACAGGAACTAGGAGACACTCTTTCACTCATTCTAAAGATTGATTTTAGAATAGTTTCAAAAGAAGGGGAGCCAGTCGATGTACTTCCCGCCGCGAGTCCCTGAACCACCTACGGCACCTCTCTAACGGGTTCACACGCAGTTCTAAGCCATCCAAATTTAGCAGTTAAACCATAATTACTTCCTTTTGTCAAGGTGTACCAAAGGACCTTCCCAGTCGCATCATTTTCGTTGTCGTCAAGGTAGAATAAAAAAAAGAAAGAATGTCTGATAAAAAGAAGGGCAGAGATCTTCGAGCGGATTAAAAGAGGGACATTGAGCTTCTAGTTGTAAGAGATAAATAGTGATAAACTTCAAGGTAATCAATACCAAATGGCTCTATTTCCTGTAATGCGAGCAAGCTTCTGTTTCTGTCATGTACTGTTATTTAAAACACCCTCTCCTTGAACCGTAATTTCCCTCAATCCGTCTAAACACCCTGCTTTCTCCTTCAGATCTGTCCAACTCTAAGCGGCAACCATCACACTTTCTTTCTAGAACGATGACGCCTGTTCTACGAATCTTAGAACACCTAAAAAGCTGTGGTTTCTGATTGAGTACCTATTAAACAACAGTGCTTAATTATTCTTATTATGCAGAAAATTCTCTGCAATCTTTCAACACGAGTGCACGCGTTCGCGCCCTCCCGAAGACGCGCACCCTTGTATCTTGGATACCAAATCATGCTGCCGCATGTACCACGCTGGAACCCCCGCAGCTTGCAACCAGTGGCGCCACTCGATAATCTAAATCATATTAACGCATCATAATCATGTGATCATAAACGCTGCTCTACTCCTTGCAGCATTTGCGAGGGTCCTGTGTCTGTCCCTCCCTGGCAGCCTTTTTGCATACCACAATGAGACCATCAAGTCCCTTTCAGCGAGAGCTGGCGCTAGCAAGATGGCACGCAATGCCACAGCGTGACAACATTGCGAGGTATATTATGATCGGATCAAGCTTGTTGATGCTCATTTTCGTCACCTCTAGGGTTGTTGGAGGGCGTTAGAAAGCATGGTCGCTGAGGCGACTGTGCCCGCCAAAATCACAACGCCGGCGCGCGCATTCACCATACTCCTCAAGCTGGCCGCGGCGAGACGCCCATCTTGTAAACACTTCCAGCTAGTGGGTTGCTTTATCGCCTTTGCGGAGGCCACAACAGAGGCAAGCCCCTCCTTCACCGTTGTAATCGGTTGCCTGAACAACCGAAATGGCGCTACCCATCTCTCCAAGGTTTGTGCATGTTCGAGTAAGTCGGTCTTACAGGACCAGCGAAGAGCGTCGTCCAACCCGTCCAGGTTCTTATGTTCTTGAGAAGCTAAAACCACGGACTTCTGAATTAAAGCCCGACGTAACTCATTCAAGGCCGTTTGGAGTCCCTTAATTTTCTGCTCCTGGAGCTCCTCTACCGCAGCTTCCACGGTTTTTTTCACTAGCTGCTTGTCCGAGTCTCTAGCAGGATTCTGCTTTCCCCCGTGCTGTAAAAAGTTTTCATCTTGACCGCGGCGACCCTGCGGACCTGCTGTTTGCGATGTCTTCTGTCCACGGCTGTTGGCTTCGGTGTCTGCCTCAGCCTCGGTCGTGTACAAGCTCTTCATGAACAAACTCCACGGTTTTTTTTGGTGTGTGCTTCGTTTCCCTCCTTTGCGATTCTGAGCTGCTCCGCGACCATGTCCTCCTCCTCCTGCTGTTGCTGGTGGTTCCTCACCACCCTCCAACTCTGGCCCAACTGCTGCCTGAGGCCCAAAGGACATCGAGACCTCTTCATAAGTCTTCAAAAACCTGTTGCGGAGATCGGTGGCCCGGACAGCACGCTGCCAAGCGTTGCCACTTCCCCCATGCTCCTTGAGCTTTACAAGCGTCTGAAGCCGCACGTACCGCGTCAATACAGCCTCGCTTTGCAATTGTGCCAATAAGGAAATCTTGACTTAGAATGCGAACTAATTCCTCGAAAAACGCGATCTTCAACACGCGACTTGGGTAATCGCGACAGCTCTTAAGCGTAATCACCTGGATGTTGAACCCCCTCTATCTAATATCCGGATGAGGAGGACACTCAGCAGTAAGATAGCTAAAGTTATGAAGTACTCTGTACTAGAAATTGCGAGACAGTGGCGCAGAACAATAAATGAGTGTTCTACAACTTCGAAAACTCGTTACGAAAAAGACCCTTTTCTTAAGGCATCAGCTGCTCGTGCGTAAACTCGGACATGGTTTTCGTGATATCACTCCAGTGTGGGTTAAGAAGCGAAACCGACACAACTCCGAATGCCAGTTTGACCAAGTGGACATGGTACGCCTGCGAATCTGCCTCGTTCCCAGCCAAATTTTAGAGGAAAAGACTCGTTGGTTGGTTGACTCACGTGCGTGGCATCAGGTCGAATAAGATGCCCATGAGATGATGCCACAAAACCGATAGTGATGGCTGTTGGTTTAATCATGAGGCCCTCGCTCTAGCAAACAAGGGTCTTTGCTGCGATCAAAAACCCAGATCAAGGTGGCCTTTTCAATATCAGCAGGGAAGATGGTCAATCTATCGGATCTAGTTGCAGGCACAGACTACAGAAACGTATAGCAGTATCCTTAGGACAGGTGGAAAACTTCATACAGAAAATCTCAAACACGACAAAGTACATCCGAATCTCATAAATCGTTCCCAGGGTCGTGACTATTTGTTGCTTCGTCGCATAGATACGCCGGTTGAGCGCAGCATACGCCATAACACCATCCGGTTCAGCTTTCTCTCCTCTCACCAATCGTTTCGCCTTTGCAAACTTTCCACTCGCGAAGGCTGCGGCAGCTCCTGTTATAACTTTATCGAGGCGCTGGCTAATTTCTTCGAGCGCCCTGTCCGCGGTAGAATCGCACGAGAGGATCTTCCCACGATTGAATTTCCCCCGGTGGCCTCTTGGCGCAATCAGCAATATTCTGGCGGAGGCGCTCGAGGTGATGAATTCCGCAAGGGGACAGACCTCGCTGCTTCGCGACTTGTTCCAATGGCTCAACGTCATCTCCTTTTTTCTGCTTCGGCCGCTTCCCGCGCGTGGATTTTTTTGAAGCATCAGGGGACAGTGCGATTTTGTGGTCGATGAGAAATACGTTCAGAGCCTGTATCAGCACTGGGGCTAGGACATTCACATCCACCGGCGTTCCCTTCTTCGATGTGCCGATGACATTTCGGCAGCAGAACTTAGAAAAACTTTGCTTGACGTCGTTCGCTGTCTGTTGTTCTTGGCCGTCCCTCGAACTCGCGAGCCGTGTGTCGAGCTTCGTGAAAATGCACTCCCCCTTGACCGCGTCCAGGAACAGAGATGAAGATCCCCCGAGACAGGACTTCGCCGAGGCCATGTTTTGCTTTTTGATGTGAAGAAGGAAGAGGGCATCACCGACCAGAAACCGGCGCAAGACAACCAAGACACGAATTCAAGGACTTTCCTAATCAGCTGCGGAAGAAAGATTACGAAGAACTACGAGCGCCGTGGTGGGAAAGATTCCCGAAAGTGACCTGATAGCTGAGTGATGCCCTTTCTGTTGGGCAGAGGACGGCTACGCGTTCGAGGAACGGTTCGTACATATCCACGATTTTTTGCGTGAACCCATGCGATCGCGAAGTTTCGAGGAAATCCCTCTTCTTTCGTCGTCCTCACTTCACCATTCACAAGAGCAGGGATAAGTGGGGACATTTCTGCATTCTAAATCTTATCGATGGTAGCAGACTGTCGAGTAGGGAAGAGGTGGTCGACGATAATTGAGTACTTTCGTGGTAGTCTACGGGGGCGCCAGTGTCTGCGAGAGTGGGTTACAACTAGTCCCTGATATTCGAGCGCTGTGGTGAGGGCTCGCAGGTAGTTGGTCATCTTGTGGATTCGCCGATCCGCTACATCCAGAAATGGGTTGTGTTCAATGAACGCACGGAGGGGTGGGAAGGGGCCCTCGGTCATCATGGAAGTGGGTCAATGCCGAAAATTAGTCTGGGCCGACGATGGTAGAGGTAGGACTTGCAGCGGCCAGTCCTGCCTGCTTCCCGAGCGGGACACGTGATCTTCTGTTTTATCTGATAGGAAAAAAAAAAGGTGAATAGGAAACGACGCCGACTCCGGTCGGCCTGACGCAGGTGGTTCATATTTTTCCCAGCAGAAGGAACAGCAAAAATCTAGGCCACTCTAGGCCTGCCCATCGCGTGAACCTGCCGCGGGTCGTGCCGACTGCGCGTTCTGTGCCACCGCTACTGGCCACTCGCAGCTGGGCGCCTGGGAGCTCCGTCCTGCGGGCCTCTCCACGCGTGTTGCCTTGATCTGCCACTCTTCGGCAGCCCCACTCACTTGGTTCCTCCAGGTGAAGTTTGCCTCGCGCTGCGTGTTGTCCATCTCGTCAAGCAACCAGGGGCCACTCATGGGGACCCATTGCCCGTCTGGCTCGTGCATCACCTGAAGACTTGAGAAGAGAAACCAGCTGGATCCAGCACGTCATAAGTAAAAAAAAGGAGCCGGGTATTCTGTAACGTAATAACAAAGTCAACGCAGCCACTCTCTGGGTTTATCCTAGTTTTTTTATGACACTGGTAACACCTTCCGTTTTTTCGAGTTTCTTGGCGCGATTTGATGGGGCTGCTCTTGGCGCTTATCTATGAGCGAGGAGCTCGCCGCACCCGGACGCGCCGCAGCACTAGATGACGGCCCGGAGCTTGTTACGGGACCCGCTGACGCCGAGGCAGTCGCCGCATTTGCACTACGGTTTTTGCAGCGCTTCTCTTGTCCGATATCGTCGCGGAATAATGAAGACGAGGGGTTCTGCTCACATCCTTCCCCACAGAAGTCTTTTTGTGCACTTGAATCGCGACGAGAGGAACTCGCCGCACGCGGACGCGCAGCAGCACTAGAAGACGATCCGGAGGCTGCTGCCGCTTTTGCATTAGGTCCCTTGCCGCTCTTCCCTTTTTTGCTTTGTTTGCCGACGATGTTCTTGCCCGTGTGAGAATTGTCGCCATCGAAGTGGCCCCCTGCACTTGGACCTTGACGAGAGGAACTCGCCGCACCCGGACGAGAAGCAGCACTAGATGATGAACCGGAGGATGCTGCCGCTTTTGCATTAGGTCCTTTGCCGCTCTTCCCTTTTTTGCTGTTTGCGGAATGCGCTGTCTTGGGTGTCGCTTGGCGTTTCATGGCTCCTTGCCCAGTGGATCTCGTGTTGTTGCGCGCTTTGCCGGAGGTCTTGCCACCGGAAGGGTCCCGAGCATCCACATCGGACTCCTGAACTTTAGAGGGAGACCCATGGCTTATTCTGAAGGAGCTTTTTGACACTATTCAGATGAAGCTGTACGCCAGAGAGAGTAGAAGGGCCACGTCTGGAAACAAGAACCCGAACGATCCCCACACCTCACTACCGTAGATGGTTTTGGTCCATAACCTCGCCTCCACTTTCTTCGTCGATTTCCTCATGCTCCATTTCCCCTTGACAGCTTCGCGCTGGCGATGACAGTGCGTCAGCATCTCCTCCACTTCCAGCGGCATCCTGCGCCACATCGTCACACTCCTCACGCACCGAGGCCGAGTTTCGTGGTGGCTGTGACAGTACGCCCATAAGGTCGACCTCCGCTTCCCCTTCACTAGGTCCTGCTGGCGATGTCTGTGTGACGTAGGCGCGCACCTCGAGTCGTTCTCCTCGATTCCGGCGCGAGGAACTCGCCGCACCCGGACGAGCAGCAGCACTAGATGATGATCCGGAGGCTGCTGCCGCTTTTGCGTTAGGTCCTTCGCCGCTCTTCCCTTTTTTGCTGTTTGCGGAATGCGCTGTCTTGGGTGTCGCTTGGCTTTTCATGGCCCCTTGCCCAGTGGGTCTCGTGTTCTTGCACGCTTTGCCGGAGGTCTCGCCACCGGAAGGGCCCCGAGCATCCACATCGGATTCCTGAACTTTAGAGGAAGACCCATGGCTTATTCTGAAGGAACTTTTTGACACCATTCAGATGAGGCTCTAGGTCAGAGTAGGTGGGTCACGTCTGGAAACAAGAACCCAAACGATCCCCACTACCGTAGACTGTTTTGGTCCATAAGCTCGTCTCCACTTTCTTCGTCGATTTCCTCATCCTCCATTTCCCCTTGGCAATTTCGTGGCGGCGATAGGAGTGCGTCGCCATCTTCTCCACTTCCAGCGGCATCTTGCGCCACGTCCTCACTTTCCTGAGGCCCCTCTTCCGAAGTTCGTGGCGCGCTCATATGGTCGCCCTCCTCTTCCCCTTGACTTCCTCCTGCTGGCGATGACTGTGTGATGTTGGCGCACTTCTCGGGTCGTTCTTCTCGATTCCGGCACGAGGAGCTCGCCGCGCCCGGAGGTGCGGCTGCCGAGGACGCAGAGCCTGGAGACGGAGAGACCTGGCGCGGCTTCTCGAAGGGCCGGCCTAGCGCTGGCATGTCCTCCGACTTAGCCAACGATCTCGCTCCTTTCATGGTTGCAATCCTGAACGAGTGCCGCATGAGATCCGGCGCTAGCGTCCGCTGTATTCCGACGGCGCCGTCTTGTGCCTCGTGCTTGTGCCTGAATATTCTGTGACTGATCCCGTGCTGAGGGATGGCGAGCAATCGGAGGCACGCAAGTTCGTACGTTGCCGATATGCTGGATGGATCGAGGACCGACTTCACTGCGTTTGTCAGGATACCAGATGCGGGAACCTTCTGCGACACCATCACCCAGAGGCCAAGGACTGCCTTTCGCGCGGCCTGCGCGGGTGTCTCCTGCGCCTCATCACCGCGAGGAGCCGCATCACCGAAAACGACCGCGGTCGCGTCTTCTTTCCCGAAAAAGACCGCACAAAACGCCTCGGCAAAGTCCCGACTCAGATCGTGGAGGATGGAAGAATTGGAATCCGCAAAAGCCTCCGCAATTTCGTCGAGCACCTCCTGCGCGGTGAGTCGCTCTCCCTTCGGTTCCATGCCATACCGGACTGCCGCCTTGTTCAGAAACTCGGGGTCGCTGATTCCAAAAGTCTTAAAATCTTCGCACGCGAAGCCGATTCCTTGGCCTTTGCCGCAGCTTCGGCGTAGGACCCGACAGATTCGCGGCCGCGCGTCCGTGTGTTCCGCAGTCTCGCGAGGGCTGGCCCGCTTGAAGAGGGGGAGTTGCAAGGCCTCGGCTTTGCACGCAAACTCCTCAAGCACCACGATCGCGCTCACAAACGTCGCCGAAGATATTCCCACAACGTCGCCCGGGTCCATCACCATCGACCCCAGTGCTGGTTTGAGCAGCAAGTCGACGCGCCGACGATGGCGCACGGTGAGATGGAGCGACTTGCGTAAATCGGCACGCTGGCTTATTTGTCCCTTCTCCGCCTTCTCCTCATCCAACGCGCGGAGGAGCGAGCACAACTCCGCGAGCGACTTGCTTGACCATTCTCGTTTGAGACAATCGAGAACGTGGCGAAATGTCAACTCCTCCGCATTGCCCTTCAGCCGATGCAACTGCCGCTCGGTTCCGTACTTGGCAAGATCTGCGAGCCAACGGGGAGGCCTGCCCTTTTCTTTGACCAGATCGGGCAGCTCCTCGAGCCATTCGCGACCTGGGACAGTTGGAGCGTCGCATGTTTCCCAATCGATGAAGTGTCAGTTACTAAAACTGCTTGGCAAGACATGCGGCGTTGGTTACTTAGCAAAAAAAAACATGAGAACCACCAGGAAAAGACAATGGGTAGGAATGTGGGGCGCGTGCCTTCCTTACGCAGGTATTGTCTCGGCACCTCGCGGCTCCCTTCAAAGGCATTCCGAAGGATCTCTTGAAATTCCTCTTCCTCGAGGTGAAGCATCGGCTCCGTCGATTCGCCGTTGTCCCCATCAGTGTGCGGGTTTTTTCTAAGACGCGTAGCGGCCGTCTTCGTGAAGGAGAGACTTCCCTCGAGACTGATGGATCCGCTCTTTTTTCTTTGGCAAACGTAGGCCCAAGTATCCTGCTCTTCTGCGGAACACTGCGGCTCGGGCAAGTACCGTCTGCCTTCCGCGGCATGGTTCATCGCTGCCCTGTCCTGAAACGCTTTGCAGAACTCCACCGCCAGCTTGGGGATTGGTAAGCGGTCAGGCTCCGCGTCAGGCTTTGGCACGAGGATGAAATCGAACGCGGCGACTTTCTCTACGGAGTCCCTGGTAGATAGGAGGAGGGAGACATCTGAGAGATGACCGTGGCCCATTCAGGCCGTAAGCAGGTCCAAAGAAAGCGACGAAGCCAACTAGTCATAGTGTCGCACGCGATTGCCTGGGAATGTGATCCAGCTGAAAACTAACAGACTAATCATTCGCTCACGCTAGTTTAGCAGTGGGATTGCCGCGCGTTCCTCCACATCTGGGACATTCCCGCCTTTCCAAGGTGCTCCCTAAGCGCCTCGAGATATCGCGCACGACCGCAATGCGTGAAGGCAACCAGTGGGCCGAGGAGCAGCGCCTTCCCGTCGGGGCGGTGAGGGTTCGTAGTGCGACTGAGATCCGGCGCAAATGCATGCGAGGCTGCCCACATCTCCCCAGGGGCTGGCACAGTTGCCGTGGGAACCCAGCGGCCGAGACGAAAGCGACAGGGGTAGGCGCCGCCGACAGCGGTGGGGTTTCCCCGGTATGGGACGCCCTTCACAAGGCGCCCCGTCGCGTCGAAGCACCTGGCGACGTGGGCCACGCTCGTATGGCCCTTGCGCTCCACGGTCGGCATATCGTGCTTTTGTAGTTCTGGGCCGAACACCATCTCGAGCGGCGACGTTCCAGTTTTCTGCGTCTGCTTCGTCGTGAACCTGATGAATGGCGATCGAGACGGAAGATCAGTAGAAGTTAGCGAAGTAGGGCGATCAGTGGTCATTGAGTGACGAGCCAGAAGTAGTCTCATCGGCGATATCGCCCGTAGCCGCGAAATGATGAGCAGAAAATATGCTGGGAACGCTAAAAACCTGATAAGAGGTAACTCGTGCCCGTTTTGGCCATAGACGACCCGAAAGAGGGACGACGCGAAGCCCGCTTTTTCCAAAGCGTTCCACGCGGCACCCCCCTTCGTGGTGATGCTTTCTTCGACGTGTTCGTTGTTCACAGCGCCCATTTGGATTTCGTACTCCCCTGGACTCCCAGCCTTTCTCGTCACTGCCTTGAAGTAATAACTTTTTTTCTCGGCCTGTTTGATGCTTATCTGGGGGAAATTGTCAACGAGCCGTGGAGTAGTTGCCAGCGGTACATGCTCACTTCGCTGCGCCGCTCGCCACGCCGTCGCTGGCACGAATACCGTATCCGGAGTGTGTCCGAACGCTTCGTGATCGAATTCGAAGGAGTCGCCCACTTTTGGATGTCGTTCTTGCGGATGAAGTAGGTACTACGAAATTCTGAACAAATTTGCTAGGAGGCGCAGAAGACTCTTGAATTCTCGATGTTCTGTGAGGCGTGCTAAAAAGAAGCCGGAAGGGTACGCTAGGGGTTTCCTGTGCAGCCAACGACATTCGAACGACTGCACAATAACGACGAGCTCCATTAGCGCCTAAAAAGAGAGGCTATCCAGATGATTCTCCCGTGGATCAGCCTCGGGGCAAGACGCAAAAAAAACGAGGAACTTTTGTCTGGCAGGAACACACGCACGATTTTCAGGCGAGCGCCGAAATGCGAAAAAACGACTATTGCAGGAGATCATTACACTTTTTCCTAGACGAGAATGATTTGGAAGCGTGCGCGCCTTCTCGTCCTACTCGTTTGGCCTGCGAGTATCTCACGGAATTCACTTTGCGACGGAGCGTCCTCTTTTTCATTTTCTTCAGAAGATCCCGGAGTTTCCCGGCGGTGCACAGTGCGTTTTTACGGATGCGCGCCCACTTCTCCGAGGCCTCCAGAGTGTGCGCGCGGAGACCATGTCGCACCTTTGGCATATTCCCCCCGCAAAACGACTGGAGACGCTCTACGAGCTTGCAGAAGTTGTCTTGTAGCCCCACCCTATCTAGAGGTGGAACCGTGAAGGATATTCCACCTTCTCCGCCACATCCCCGGATGGAGCATCGCCCTTCCTTTGCCGCAACTGGTTCGTCCTCATTCCCGCGAACGAGGAGGGTTTCATCTACGACACCGCCCAGCGCTGTTCTGTAAATGTTGAGGCCGCAAGCTTTACTCAGAACCCTGGGACTGGGTCCGTTGGGTTGTCTGTCGGCCGGCGGGCAATCCGGGGCGCAGGAACAAAGTCGGAGAAGGACACAAATGCCCGGAAAGGCGACGCTCTTCACCATGAAGCCAGTGCCGAGCGCTCTTTGTTCTTTGGCGGAAAGCGCGCCCCACTCGACAAGCTGCAACCCGCTGAGGCCGTGCCCGTTGCAACCGCGCATCTGGGCGAGGCAGTCGAAAACGAGGTCCAGAGCAGCTGCATCCTTAGCGGTGTATTGGAAAGAAGTTGGCGCGGTCGCGGAAGGCGCTGCCACGAGAGCCGTACGAAGTCGCCTGGCGGTGGGTGCCAAGGCCTCGACGGCGCGGAAAAACTTCCCGCGCGCGCTCCCGCCGGGGTACGTGTCCAGGACGTTGGATCGGGCCAAAAGCTCTACGATTGATCCGGTCACTTCTGACTTGGATTTGCCCTCGCTGGTCGGACGCCGAGAGAGAACGGGGCAGGCTTTCCATCGGGCCGCTGCCAAATACGTCCCAAACTGGAAACCTAGACTGCTTGACGTCACGCCATCGCATACCACGAACCCGACGTCGAGACCCGTGCTGCGTAGTTCTGCCTGGATGCTCTTGGAGAGCGCCTCATCTGACTCTTGAAGCGTCTCGCTTCGTCCGGGGAGGTCCCCTGCCTGCACGACGGCCGTGGTCACGTCTTCGTCCCTGGACAGGGCTATCGCACATGCGACTGCGTTCGGATACTGTCTGGCCATGTTCACGGACATGTAAAAACGCATCATTAGAAGGGAAGGGGACCGATCGTATTCGCTCAACCCATTCCCTGAACCTATTCGCTGAACCTATTCGCGCAAGATTCTGAAAAAAAAGTATTCGCATAACAAGACGAACGCAGCAATACGGTGGCGATCAGCTGCGCGCTCGAACGCCATTGCTCTCACCGTCGAAAGACATATTCCCGCGAGAGCCTGTGCCACCGGATCGTGAATCGGGTCTACGTTGTGCAGCTGATTCATTTCGATCACGGAGATCCACGCGATGGGTGTCGCGGAGAGCCCAGTCTCGCGCGACGCTAGGTGGTTTGCACGCCCTCCCCTCTCCGTTCCGCGGTTGAAATGCCGGAGAAGCCAGACACTTTCGAGTGTCTCCGTCTTCTGCTTCGGGTCCCCACAGCTGATGCTCACAGCACGAGCGGCGCGGTCGAACTCATCTTGTTTCAGAAAAGGCTGCTCTATGTCCTTCCATCTGCAGGACGGTATCTTCTTTTGCGATGCAGTTCGAAACACAAGGTACGACCACATCAAAATACACAAGAGCTGTATGCGATTGGCCGGATTCGTCTCGTCCAAGTTCGTCAAACCGAAACAAAAAGCGAGACTCCAAAAAAATCCGCTCACGGTCCACTTCTTCTTTTCGCTGGTGAGGTGCGGGATGGCGAGGCCCAGGCGCTGCACAGGTGTTTCCGGGTTCCACTTCGAAGTGTCTTGCGAGAGCCCGACCACGAGCCGCCGTCCTGCGGGAGAGGTCGTATTGACCCACCGGCGCACCCACACGAGGGAGGCGAGACGAGATTCTTAGAACGAGAGTAACGACAATAGGGAGCGCGATCTCAGGATGAATTGTACCTAGCCCGAAGAGGGGAAAGCTTTTTTCATAATCGGTATTGGTGGGCGCGCCACCGACGATTGCCGTCTGCACGCCTGAGCGGTTGCGTAGTTCCTCCGAAAAATCCTCGGCGACGCGAGTGGCTACCATCCCCGCGTAAATTAGCGCACAAAGCGCCGAAACGTGGATGCGCACTCCGTCAAGGTGGGACTCCACGAAGGCCCACGAGCGTCGCTCGCACGAAGCCGCTCTCGACGGCAGGCCCAGTGCCGTTGCATCGTGCGGCGCGGAGACCACGTCAGGGCTCCTAATTCCCTCGCAAGTGCCCTTGTCTGCTAGCGATGGAGGAGACGTGTTGTTATGCGTGAGAAACGGGGATGCTATGACTCAGTTACGTCACCGCTGCGCGCTTGTCGAGTGTTCCTATTGGACGCTATAGAACTACTGAGGTTTCTTCGCATGTTCCTGTTCTCGGATACGATTCTCATGCAGAAAATATCGGCAAGCGACCACTTTCGGTCCATGCTGGAACGTCCTTGACGGTGATCCAAACAAAGGCGCTCTCTCCTGTAATGCGCGCTCTCGTACAGGAGCGACTCTCCCCCCTACAATTCCATTCTCTACGGGGCACCTCATTTCATCACGATTTCGTCACCAAGCGGCGTCGCGGGAGAGATGGTCTTCCCAAAGGTGCCTCGCTGGACGATAAGACTGCCGCTATGGACGAAAAAGACCAAAGGTTGCTCTACTATGGAGCTATGTCTTTGTCTCTGACCCAACTAGTTTTGTTTTGTTTGGCGTGAGGTTGAGGGATTCTTGGGCTCAATGACCATCAGATTTTTGTGAGACCTTAAGTGAAAAGAAAGAATAATGGTTGAGGTGTTCCCTTGATCGAAAAAATCTTGGCGCTCGCCTTTTCTCTGTTTCTTGATCGAAAAAATCATGGCCGTTGCTGCTTGAAATGTGCACTCCTTCACTCATTCGGAAACGAGTCTCTCGCTGTCGCTTCTGAGAGACGGCCGAAATTCGGCCGAATCCTGTTGGTGCGTTCATACCCCTCCACGGCGTCCATCGTCCGGCGCGACCACGTGCTGGACTCCCGCTTCGGTTGGCAGTAGTACGCGACAGCGTCACTTGTGTCAGGTCTTGCTACACGCCCGAGGCATTGCATTTGCGTAGAGCCGTCTTCTCTAGGATCTAAGAACAGAACGGCACTCGCCTTCGGCCATTCCATTCCTTCTTGACCCATTCACACCGTGCACAATACGCCATACTGGGTTTTCCGGAAATCCTCGACGACCTCCGTCAGATTTTGCTCACTGTACGAGTACACGGCGACGCCGCCTAGAAGAGTCGCTGGCCTGCTTGCGATTCGGTCGGGCGCCCACATGTCTACGCTCACTTCCCCTTGTTTCACCGTCGACTGAAGCCACGCAAACCGCGGTGTGGCGTTCACGGTGGTCGTGAGCTCGCTCGTCGTCTTCTCCCACTGCTGCACCAGATTAGCCACCAAGTGTTGCGCTTTTTTTCTGCTAGACGTCACTGCGAGGCCCTTGAAAGGCTCCGTCGGCAAGGGCAGTTCCTCAGCGGCTATCGTTTCGCGGATTTCCCGCCGCACATCTAGTTTACAAGGTTTCCAGTCGACGAGCCCATGGTTATCCATTTGTAGCAAAATAATCTGGCTGACCTGCTGTGGGAGGGAAACGTTCGTAAGTGTTGAGAGGGAAAGACCCACCCGACGGCGGAATGCGTGGGATTGCCAATAGCGACACACAGCGGAGAAGTGATGACCTTGCTTTGACAACTACTAAACTTTTTTCCAATTTTAAAAAATAGTCTCTATGCTTGTGAGGCTCCGCCTCACCTCTCGGGAACCCGTGTGATATTTTTTTCTACCTAGAAGGAAAACAGTGAATATGTGTGCCAAGAAACATACATGTCAGGGAAACTACCACTGCGGCGTAGTCTCTCGCAGTATTCTGGTTGATGGCATTTCCCATGTCCGTACCGCACCCTTCCCATTCCCGCAATTCCTCCTCCACCGGAGCCGGCGTCCACTTGGATGGATCGCAACTGAGGCGCACGCGACACGGCCAGATCATGTGCCGCAATCGCACAAGCGTCGAGAGAGCAACTTCGGCTATGATATTATTCTTTCCGATGAGTCTCTCCATCGCCGTGGTGCATGTTGCTGCGAAACCGATCATCGGACAGGAGAGGGCGGCACAGTCCAGAAAGTCGCCGCTTGTGTATCGGTGCCGCCGTTTCTCGGTAGT